TAGCCAGTCAAACGCTGGTGCAAATGTCAATCTCACGCGAGTCCCGACGAGACCTTCATTGGATGTACAAGCTCAGGATGCATGGAGTGGATGCATCCCAAATGTATGGTCCATGACATACTCATGAAAGTCTATAAGCAACGGGGAACTAATGGGCAGAGACCGGAGGAGGTAACGCACCCTCTATCGACTATTGATACAAAGGGGAGAGAGGTCCAACACCTGATCGACATTCGCCCAAAAGAAACTCAAGCCGACGATCACACTCATGGGGATGTTCGCGAGACGCTTTTAAAGACTGAAACATCAACGCCCATGTTAACGTACTTTAAATCTAAAACCCCCAGGATAGTTAATAACTTAAAGGAGAAGGGCCACAAGAAGGCAGCAGGTCCCAAGCCATACGTAGGACTTTTCGAAGCCGACCTCAAGACTCAATGCAGCCCCCCAGTGTGGGAGATCCGTGATCTACGTAGAAACGGAGGAGCTGACGATGAGACATGGACTGAGGGAGTCCATTGTCTACTGTGCGGTGTTCTTGTGATGTGAAGCTACGGGGACAAACCGGGAATTGTCGTACGGGGCTTGGGAACCGTGGAAAGATTGGAAGATGAACCTGCTGAAAGTTTCTGCAATCGAGGACATGGTTAGTTGTGTGACTGATTTGCTTCTCCGCAAAGGTCTGTTTGGCTAATTTTGAGCTAGCCTAGATATCAATGCCGCCTCCTATTCCACAAGAGGACGTCATCTATTGCCATACCGCCTCCACTGCTGCAGCAGCTATTATCGCGATCGCGGCCGAGATAACTATCCCGGAATTTTTGAACGATTCTTGACGAGATCTTGTGTCTGGATGAGACCACCTTTGTGCAGGCCGGTTACATTCACGAATACGAGACTCAAGGCCGGTCTAGCCAGCCAGAGAACGTTGTCAGATGTTCCTGGCTCATTGAAGGATAAGATGCCCAAGCTGGGACAGAGGCTTACTCTTGAACCGAATCGTCGCAAAGTTGCAGGCCATGGAGAGGAAGCACCGGATCTCGCTCAGCTTGGACTTGGCTTGTCATTGCTAGCATTGACAGCCTATTCATCGTTGGATCCTGCGACTCGTCAAAAAAATGGCTACCTCATCTCTTAAGGCCTTTTGTAGAAACCCCTACAACAGCTTGGCCATCTCTTTCAGGTCGATTCTGGGGCGGGTAAAGCTAAAGTCCTCCATAAGGGCGTCGACCATGTGTAGGGAAGGATCGAACTTTAGATCGTAATATATTGAAGGAGGCTACCATTTGCCTCGACCATAGCTGTCACGCGCTTGTTAGTTTCACCTATGTACGGCCACGGCGCCAGAACTTACAAAGGTCAGCTGACCACAAGGGGCCGCAGGAGCCCGGCGACATAACTTCTTTGGTAGTGGAGAGCGGGCTTGGACCGACTGATAATTTGATATTTGTGTTTGAAAATGACAGAATGGAAAGCTTTCACTGTGGCTAGGTAGTGATGTCTGCATTTCAAGGGAGCGACAACAGTGGAATTCATACTTTTTGCTTTTGGGTCCTCGAGGCTCTTCTTCACGTAGGCGAATTGGCGTATACACAGGTGTGTAGGTGTGTGCATGCAGCTGCGCAGTGCGTACGCGCCAGGGTATATTATATACTATACACAATGACGTGTCGTTCAAACGCTCTTTGCCACGCAGTCACGTGCAAGCGCGACCAACGTTAGCTACGTAATTACCCGTACTCATCAAAGTACCTACGTGCCTACCTATCCGTTACCTGGCGACACCCAGGGAGTTAAGGTAGGCAAAGACAGACGAGAAACCTAGGGGAAAAAGGGGGGTCGGGCGACGATGACGAGCAGAGAGGTGAAGTTGCGAGGCGTGCGGCAGCTTAAAAAGCAGGGTGGCACAGTTCGGGACTAATGCACGGTGGACACGCTTGTACCTTTGAATGTTGCGTCGCGAGCCAGTAATGCCCCAAGCGGAGTGGAGGTTGGAGGAGCAGCGCGTCTCAATGGCGATGACGGCCTATGCGCACTGATTTGCTTGCTGCGTACGTGCACGCGCGACTGGGCTCGCAAACGGAAAGGGCGGGCGAAGTGACCGGCTGAACAGTTCCCCGTCGCCGGAGAGGGATCAACCGTGCCAAGAACGGACGATATACGTAATGAGCTCATTGGCCATGCATTGACGAGTTGAGATCTTTTCGCGTGGAGGATTGGCCCCTGAGGGCCCGTGCCAGTGTAGGCAACCATCGGTCAGGTTACAGTTTGGCATGGGATCCATAGCACTCCATAACAGGGAGCTCATTGGCTGCCCAGCTGCTCGTTCCGCTAACGCGATGCAGATCTGCCCAAAATCCTTAGGATCGCATTTTCAAGCAGTGCGCGAACCAATCGTGCTGTCCGCGAGGCTCCCAGAGGATCGCGGGCCGAGAAACCAAATAAACAACACTGACAATCGCTTGGATCAGTCGGGTGTCTGTGACGCTCACTTCTTCCCTTCAATGACCCCCAACGCTTCAACAAAATACTTGAGGTATGTCACTTGCGCGATTTCGACTCTTGAACGGCAGGCACCAGAAACCTACACTCGTTTTTTCGTTCATTGATCCTGCGACCAGAGGCCCAGCACCCGTCTCGTCTTCGCAGGCCGTGACATGATCTCGAATTACCGTCGACCTCCATTCTATCTTCTCCATTCATTCAACCATGGCTGGGACAGAACCAGCAGTTCATGATGCCGACGGGCCAGCTGTTCAGAAGGGGCCAACAATTGTGTCGTCCACCATATACGAACTTAGCGAGCTCAAGAAGGAGCTCAAAAAGGAGCGCGAGAAGGCTCAGGGCCTCGAGAAAAGCTACGAAGAAATGATCCAGAAGGGCGCAGCCGACGCTTGGCATATAGAAGAGCTCAATAAGGACATCCAGAGAATAGAAGCAAGCGCATGGCCACAACATCGTGAGCTCATGATGGCGCGAGAGGGGCTCGAAACCGCCATGCGGGAGAAAGAAGAGATAGTTTCTAAATTTCGCGGCATGCAAGCGCGCATAGATGAACTGAACGGCGTCACCCGCCACCTCGACGTTCGCTGTTGCATGGCTAACCAGGCGATTTTCGGCTACGTGCGGCACATTGGGTACCTGGAGAGAGAAAATGATATCTTGAGGGGCTCGATCGAACACAGGGCCAACGCGTCGGGAGCGATGGCCGCGGAAATGACGGGTCTGAAGCAGCTTATGACCCGTTATCAGAACGAGCTGGAGACCACGAAATGTCTCAACCAGTCGCTGTATGCCGACGTTCGGCGGCTCTCGAACAAGACGCAGGACATGAGGGCCAAGCTGAAGAAGGCCGAGTTCGACGCGACGACCATGAATATACATAAGCAAGACCTCCAGAAAGTCCTCGCCGTCGCCGAGGGAAAGCTGAACATTCTCGAGAAGCAGGCGCCCTACGACGCCCGCACTCGCGAAGAGACTGAAAAGGACCTGGTCTTGGCCAAAAAGAGATTAGAGAATACCAAAAAGCAAAGAAAAAAGCCTGCCCAAACCAAGGGTAAGGTCACGGCGAAGGATGAGGCGGCTATGGCCGCCATGGAGAAGGGCCTAGAGGACGAGATTAAGCGCCTCACAAGGTCGCTCGAGGAGAAGGACAAAAATATACAGGAGCGGGAGATCAAGATGGAAGAACTGCGAGCAAGAATCAAGAGCAACGCGGATGAGCAGGAAAGTATACAACGCGAGGAAAATGAGGATGAATCGGACAGTCGAACCGTCGTCGCGGTCGAGGACACCAAGGTCAAGGAACACTCCAAAATCGACGAGTGGTATGTGGAGGTGAGCACGCCGGCCGACGAGCTGGCGAGGCTGCGAGAGGAGCTGCAAGACGCGCGGGAGGAGATAGACCAACTGAAGGAGACAGTCGAGGGCCTAAATGGGGTCATACACGATCAAGAAACTGAGATCCAGCGACGGCGGCAGAATGAGACGACGCTGCGGGCCGAGGCGGATCGGCAAGGAACCATAGCGGCCGAGAGCCAGGAGAAGCTGCGGGAAAAGGAGCACCAGGTGCTCGAGCTCGAGCGAATCCAGACGCGTGCCAACCTCAAGTTGATCGGGAGCGGCATCATCGTGATAGAGGCACTGGTCCGCGACCGGACCCTGCTGGTGCAGCACGTGCTTGAGACGGTGGCCGGCCGGCTGGACGGCATCGACAGTGCGACCTCGGCGAACCGCGCCTTCGACGAGATCGACGGCTTCCTCGAGAACGTCACCGGCCACACGCTAGGCTGCATAAAGCAGGCTGCGCAAGACGCCTCCGCCGTCAACGGCGTGGTGCGCAATATGCGGCGCCTGCTGCCCAGCCTAGCCAACAAGAACGACAGGGACGACGTGTCGCGCCTCTTCGGCGAGGTCCAGATGTTTAAGACGGACGTCAAGGGGCTGATGGAAGGCATCAAGCAGGAGCTGGCCGGCGCGGGGGCGGGCGCGATCGCCGGCGACGGCGGGGCCATACAAAAGAAATCAAAACAAACGGGAGCCCCCCGAGATCGACGCTTCTGGCTAGGTTTCCAGCCGGCTGAGCTCGTCTTTTCCTCGGACCTTCCCAAGCCAGAGAGAAAGAAGATGGCGTATGTCGTGGATATTCTGAGCCAGCTGATCGTGGCCATGGTCGGCTTCTGGATCGTCGACCGCCTGCGCGTCTCGTTCAAGCTCAGCGACACCTCGGCCAATTTCCAGCGCGCGTGCATCTGCATCGCCATTTGCTTTATCGCTGTGCAATCTGCCCAATCCACCAAAAGGCGCCCGCGCACCACCCTGGAGGGGGGGCGGGCCGCCGTCAAGACGGGACCGCTGACCCACAGATGAAAAAGGGGCGAGCAACGACGTTCACGGCGCCAATATACTGTACAATGTAGTAGTGTGGAAGCAAGCTACAGACAGAATGGCTGCTATTCAAAGTAGATACTGCTATCTATGATACTTTTGAGGGCTATGGTGTCCCGGACCCTGTTGGCCTTGGGTGTGGCGGTGCGTTGGATGACTGAGCCATGGCGGAGGCGACCGCCCGGGCTTGGAGCACTAGAGGCTAGGTTGGCCTGTCAGTCAACAAGACATAGCCGGCGTCCAAGTCTATGACATACCGATTGCTTCAGACCCAGACGAGAGAGCTACTCTAGCTGCTGCTACCTGCATGCAATGTAGTGACTTTTATATCATCCAAGACCAGCAAACCAAATATTCCGCTCCGCCAAAGCCTTCGTCAGGCAAGACAATCCACTCGGTATAATGTCAGAAGACTGCCGATGGCTCGGAGACAATTGATCTTGTCGTCTATTGCTCGAAAATACTTTACCAGCCAGTGTCTCTATCATGTTGTCATGTTCAATATGCCGGTGAGGCACCGAATCTCGCCTTTACGGCGGGTATCCTCCCTGGCCGTCACCTTAAGCCGAAGCTGGGCAATCTAGCGCTTGCACCCTTCCATCTCAACAGAATTTTTCATCGCCCGAACCATGCTGGTGCGATCGAGGGCCGTTCCGTCATTGTGCTGCTCGAAGAACGCCTTGCCGTCCTCAACGGAGGTCTTGTGGAAGTTGGAGCTCTTGGTGGCGAGGGTCGCGATGGTGTTCCTGAAGGAGGCCTGAGACGGGAGATGCGGCTAGTGAGTTCACCGATCCTGGTGCTGTAGCTCAAAGCTTCATTTCCACTCTCCACGAAGGCGGACTGCATCGGATCTGTGAGACCGAGCGATTGTGGACTAGCGCAACAGCTACCTATGAACTAAGTTCTCTCTGCTGGCTCAAGGTCTCAGCCACAAGTCTCAACTGCAAATAACACATCTAGC